TTGTTCTCTCAGTAAATTTCAAGTCTATAGTTTCACTGCACGAAAATTAAACTCCGATATAATTACACGAGATTATTTAACATTGAAAATTAAAGGATTCCGGCGAACTCAGGAGATGCAAACGTACAGTGAAAGTTTGCTCTTTAGTTAATTCCAGATTTACCCAGCTTTAACCAGATCTTAACTTTGTTATCAGGCTAACAAGGAAAATTCCAAAGTTGCAAAAAATGTCTGATCAGGCTTTACGCCATGAGAAAAAAAAATTGAATGCTGGAAACAGTATGTATTATACATACCTTCGTCGATCGTTTAGTGGATCACTCTTTTGGCTAACAAATTCTTTAGCATTATTTATAATATGAAAGATTTATATGCTCATAAAATACAAAGCTTGCAAGATGACAAGAACGGTACAACGCTTTTATACAATTTATCATCGAACTTTGAAATGCTTTATAGCATTTTCCAACGTCTTGAGACGCCATGGCAGTCATGTAATCCGCGGAAAATCGAATTACGCGGAAGCCTCCGCGAGCTGCAAGAACATGTCAAACCTAATTCGCGCGCGCTTCTACTCTAATCTATGATAGAATGGAAACACAAGTATACGAAACCTTGAAAGAAATTATTCGAAAGAATTTCTGAACATACGTAGAATAACTCGTGCGTGTTATATCGAATCAAGCTTATTACGTGACTTATATAGAACACTTGAAAAATGCGAAAATTCTACGTAACTGCAAACGTAAAGTCAGTCGTTTTAGACAAATGATTGGAATAAATTAGAAACTTGTCTTTGTTATAATTCTAGCAAGCCTTACATGTGCTCAATCAATAACAAGGATTTGAATAAACCAGACGATATAATCTATATGCTGCTGCTGCTATAATAGAATCAGCGTAATTCAATAAAAAGCGTATCAAGTGACATCGACGGGGACAATCGACGAGTCAAGAATTTAATATATAATAACGTGTAATAAAATGATTATAAAAACAGGGGGTAATTCATGAGTCGAGAGTATAATGACGAGATACGAGATTAATTGCACTTCCAACATTATACGTCAAATATACGGACGGCCAGAACGGGACGCGATTTACATTTTATCTAGATTACACCATACATGCAACATTGTGTGCAACGACGGTTTATTCACGAATGGAACAACGTATTCTGAAACGGCGTTTAACTTTTTCCACTATTTTGAAACGCCATTTAAGTATCACGCTCGGTGCAACTTAACGAGAGATTAGAAATCTAGCTTTAAACTGAGCGTATATACTTTTCCAGCTGTATAATTGTGAAACAAAGTTACATTATAATTTAGATGCGTAATAAATAAACAAACGAGATATAATAAAAAATACAAATTCAATTTCATATTATCTTTTTCTCGCCTCTACGTGGAAAAAACGAGCAGAAATTCTTGTAATTTTTTTATCGAACAAGCTTCACCTATCAAAAGATGGTTAACGAACTTTTATGTCTTAACAACTGAGAACACGTGTCCAGATCCCATAATCTCAAATGTAATCTGACCGCCTCCTCCGCCTCTATCCTACACATCCAGGACATGGATATTTTCTGCCGTCTCGGCAAGTGTCGATCGATAGATGTTCGTTCATGCACGAGTACATAACGTGTCTGCAAAAGCTCGAAAGAAGACACCGTGCGAATTTCGCATATTAAAATAAAGACGAAATAAATATTTACTCAAGAAAACTATTACGAGAAATTTGAAGAAAAGCAGACGCCAACATTTTTGTCGTACTCGATAAAGATTACGAATTATTTTATTTAAATTTTTAATTAACAAAATATTAAAAATTGCTCATCCATCAAATAACACTTATACATTCTTACATCTCTCTTTCGGACTATAAAATTTATATCGGCTAAAAATTATGCTTGCAATTTTTTTGTAAAGCTCATCACACATTTAAAGAAAAACATTTCTTTATCTTTAGATTAGAGTAAGAAAAGAAACGTAACTGGGGGGGGGGACAAATTCTCGGAAGAAACATTTTTCCTAAAAACTAATTGCCGTTAAAAGAAATATCCAGTGGTACGAGCGATGACCAAAATATAGAGAATAAAGAGAGTATTGAAGTGTAAAAGCAAAGTCATTCCTTATTCGTCGTTCCGCTTATGCATTTTTCTCTCTTGCTTTATTGAATTCCAATGTTGCGTGTCGCTTACATTTGATTTCTGTAATATTTATCGGAACGATACAATATGATCGTTATAAAAAGACTATATTAAAAAAATTGCAACAACAATTCAACGATATATTTCGTCTGAGAAATGAAGTAAACAATTTGTGGAATGTGACAAAGTTTCGATAATATTATTTAAACGCTCTACCGCGATGAAAACAATTTTTATATGCGATCGTTGTAATTTGTTGTCAGAGATAAGCAGTGACTGCAGAGGACGCGTGTCTGACTAAAGTGAGCGATATCTACTCGCAACGCCGGCCACGTATACCACCATCGTGTCACGTGCAGATTATTCATCATTTCACTTCGAACCGCCTACTCGGATTAAGTTCCAAGACTCGCCGTCAATATCGATTAGTGACTCAATTTAATTATCCTCTAATAACATATATTCGAGAATGGCATAAAATTAGCATGCGACGGTGAGACAGTTATAGCTTTTTCTCGTCCTTAATGTATTGCGATCGAACCGATCGTACAACGCGTATAAAATTGATAGGAATATATAAAATTGACTTACCAATATTTGGATGTTGCAATTTTCTACATATTCGCGCCTCACGCTCGAGTTTTTGGAAATCTGTAATGAGAAGATATACTTGATTAAACATATATACACATATATATTAATAATTTAAAAGAAATCAATCCACTGTAATTGTGCCGCAATTAGTTACATTTTTGTAATTTCGCGTTACGTAATATTAATTGCGCGGGTTTGCCCGAAACGTTCGCTCGCCAGACATCGTGATAGAATCAAATTTCGTATTGACGTTTCTCAACGAGTTTTCCCAGAGCTAATTCACTAAGAGGCAGAGAAAATTCCATTTGGGGGATTATTTCCCGATGCCTTCTTACGTACATTGCGGAATCGAGAATCAATTTCCTCTGTAATATTTGATGGCCATTTGATTAAAATAGCTCAAGACGGTATGTCTTGACAATGAATATCGCAACAACAAAAATGTAAAATATAAATAAAAAGTACAGCGTTTTCCCCCTGTAGTTTTTTTTTAATATATATGTATTTAAATGTTTTTGTATTAATTACTACATAGTATTATTAAAATTGATGCCGTTAATATTATTACAGAAATAAAATACAATTCACTTCTGAATTGTTCTGAACACGCAGTGGAAGAATTTACGCGTTTTTATATTGATATAACAAATGCTGATGGTAAGTTACGGTATTTCATAACCGTTTCTTCACCGAGATAGCTACTCTCTGAAAGCTTATGAAATATAAAAGACAAGAGTTTAAAGTGTCGAAAGCGACAAGCATACAAGTCGTGCGAGAAGCGCGAAAAACATGAAGAAATTGGCGAACAAGGACTCGAAAGCTTTCCGGTGTTTTCGTGTCCGCGGAAAAAGTAGGTTACTCGACAGAGTTTTCCGCACGCAATATGCTAAAAAGATTTTCACCCGTCGTTTACGGGAGAGTAACGCGGTAGATAATCATCGAAAGCGAAGGGAAAAACTTGGAACGAACGCCCGCTCGCACGCACGCATACGCTTAGAAACACCGTTTGGATGAACGTTTCCTTTTTCTTTCTTGCGAATGTAGCGACCGGAAATGATTATAATACCAACGACACGACTGGGATATCACGATCCTGCGACGTCCACGTGTGCTGCTATTTTCTCTTTTTTTTTCATAAATTTTACATAGCTGATCAAATGACTGCGAGAGAACGCATTAATCGGAACGCATTGCGTGTCAAACAGAATATAAAATAAATCTTTTATGCGATTTTAATGTTTTCGTGCAAAATACTACTCGTGTGTAACAGGTCGGTATACAACAGTATTGATATGACATTTTCGTTTCATGTTACTTTAGCATGATAAATTTTTCATTTTTTTTAAATGAAAGAATATATAATCGCAACATCGATACTTAAATAAATTAATACAGATCATTAAATGTTAAAAAAATTATTTAGCGAGACTCAAATAAATGGAGTTACAACGACTTCATCTTACACGTGATGTTACGTACGACTAAAGAAAAATCTGATAAATATAAATTAATCCTTCAAGGGAGATAGTAATTTTATATATTTATTAACATGTTTTTGAGTCAATCAATTGCAATTAAAAAATTATAACTCAGAAAATTACTTTCACGGAGAAAATTCACGTTCTCGCAACCTTTTATTCAACACATCGCGAGAATCATGAATTTTCCGTATGTTAGACAGACAATTGCGCTCTGGAAGCACAGTTGCGCGATCGTACTCGTACCAAAATACGTAAATTGGCCGAGAAATTCCGTCAGAATTTCACGACTGAGCGAAACGCACGTTGCACGTAAGGTATTAGCATTCGGTGCAGTAGGTGCAAGTTGTAACTCAATTACGTGCAGATAAGTCGGGCGATGCGTGGTAGCGATTATCTCGTTTCCTAGCACGTTATCGTCGCCGAAATTACATTTTCATTTTGTCAATCTTTCTTCACTTGAAACTTCTCACCATGTAGAGGTGTTTCCCCCTCGATTGATCTTTTCTCTGATTCCCTCAAAAGTCATTATAACGTCTTCAGATGTATATCGAGCCACTGCATCTTACGTAAAAAATATAGTTGCATAAGAAAAAAAAAGCTTACGTAACGTGACCTTTTGCGTAACCCGGTCAACTATCTCACGCGTTTTTAAGGAGATGTATCTACGCGGACGTGCCTATCAACTATGTCGACAGCGTCAATTTCTATCTAACGAGATGTAAAGGGTTTTCCCTGATAAACGAGTAAGAAGCATGCAAATTTCACAAACAGATTATTTATTTCTTGGTACACAGCAAGCGGCAAACCACCGATCGATAGAGGCGTGTCTGGATAACAGCCCTTGCGATCACCTTCACCCCCATCCAATAATTAACACAATCTATATAAAAATATATACTTATAAAAAGTGTGTATGTGTGCAATACACGCGCGCGCGTGCGCGTACTTATGTACGTGTACACGTATGCGTGCTGTTTGAGCGAATCATTTCCAGCAGGTTACGCGGCAAACGGGCTCGTTAGAAAAATGTATTTTCTTATTTTTATCTCGTTATAGACAAGCTCTGCGTGGCCTTAAGCATGTGTGCGTATGCATTTTTCATAAGAATACGGATATGAGCGCGTCCACTCGATATATACTACGAATTAGCCAGCACACAAAAACTGGTACGTGTGAAGCTTTCATAATTTTAATTAAGTATTTTAATATAAATAAGGGAGAAAGAGAGAGAGACAGTTTTACTTAATTGAAAGGCCCAAGAGTTACGAACAATTAATCGTCGATTAAAACTGAATATCGTTACAATTACAAACGTAATGCTGATAATGCTGATAATGCTGATTACCGTTAACGTTTGCTTTAAAGAAGCTAATTGCTCGAGAAAGTTAGTACTTTGCAAACGAAACAAATGTTTGCGCAGAAAGATCGCACTTCCGCGCATTTTAAAGAGTAGAATCAGTGGATTATCATTGAAAACAGTGAATAGTCGGTGATTTGCAGTCATGAGTATACCACTGAAAATCGCAGTGGTATACTTGCAAGAGTAAATCAACATGACTATTCACCGTTTTCAGTTACTCCGATTGATTTTTAGTGAGTACAAAGGTACTGTCGGAAAAATGAGCGGCGACGATGCCGCGTCCTTAGAGCGTCTCGTAACGGCTCTGTCGTCGAAAGGTTGATCGTTTCCATCGCAAGGCCGATTCTCAGAAAGCATCCATCCGATGTAACGCTTCCCACCCGATAGAGCGCGAATATCACGAAAGCGTCAGTAATAAAAACCACCATTGGTCGTGCTCGCTTATACAAGTCGATGCGGAGAAAGTGCGAGGTACCCTTGATCTATCGTGCGTGATAAAGCTAGGACAAGGATAATGATGCATTTTTTCCTCCCGATTTCCGGACGGCAATGAAGAATCCCGTTATAAACTCCGCGAGAAAAATAGCATGGCTTTTTCAGCGACAAACAGAAGATGGGCATTTTTTCCCTTATATGTTAAGATCTAAGTCTAAGATATATCGAGAGAAAGATATTGAAAATATTAGATACATCCCACACAAAATGTGACGATTCGTGAAAACTGTAATTTTACTTATTGACATATAAGATGTGATGTTGCAAAAGAGTTCGCTTATATGTATAAATCAAGCGTGGAAAATTTCAAGAGAAAGACAAGTAGAGATGGAATAGAAAAAGACAAGGAAACGCAGGTACTAGGACGCGTATGTCGGGAAACATGGCCAAACTCCTCGTGATTCCCTTTATGGTTCAAAGCCGCGAATTAGAAATTCAAATGATCGCGACTGTATGTATATCGCTCGATTAATTATTCGCCGAAAGCGACGAAATTTCGCCGCCCGCGAATGAGTTTCAAACAAATTTCTCCCGTACAACTTTCAAACGATAAAAAAGATTTGACAATTTCACAGCTGTGCCGTTGAATAAAAGTACTCGCATATCGTGAGCAATTCGCAATGCATTCAATTCGAATTTGAATAGGAGCTATTGGCCTAGCTCGGATTGCTCCGCAACTGCTCAGCTGTGTAATTAAATTCTCTCTATATCATTTTCAATTGATCACATAAATTATCTCGCGGACATGATTTGTGTGAATAATTAATTATTTCTATTTTCTAAAATAAGTATATTTTTACGTTAAAAATGAAGATAAGTTGAATTAACGCGATATAAGTATGTAATGGTACGATAAAATTAAGTGCAATTTGTTATTCATGCATCAGTTGGTTAGAAATTATTATTGCGAGGCATTTTTACTTCTTCTCTACTATATGTTTGATCGGGGAAGCGCAACAAACCGTATATACCAATTAATTTAATATACCGATTGCAAGGACAAAGTGCAGAACAAGTTACATAAATAAAGGAATAAATAAAGAGCTGTTTTTGTCTCTGCAGAATTATGCTTGAATAATTTCGCAGCGCGAAAAACGATCGCACGTGCGTTTCAACATGCACACCACAAAAAGAATGGGAAAAAGTCTTATTTCTCCTAGGAGGGAGGCATGCAAGTGCACTGTGACGTTACGTGTCATACTCAGTTGCACTGTCTCGGAATCGGAAATGATGGGAAATGACAACCAAGTACGGGTTGAATCGCGAGGAAATGAAGGAATTCCTACTCCTTCTACTCATAACGATTGGTTCCCGTAGTTCGCTATTTGCTTCCCTCTCCTCCCCGGATACAAGTTTTATTCGTTACGCGAAGCGCGTACGCCATATTGCAGAGGCCGCGGCCTCCGTTAGGTCAAGAGGTCACTGGAGCAAGGTCGTAGTCTGAGCTGACTCGCACGAGCGAACGATTCTTGTTCGAGAGAACATGAGAGAGAAAGACAGGCAAGGAGTAAGGGGTGAAGGAGGAGACAATAAGGGGGAGACAGAGAGAGAGAGAGAAGAGAGCAGAGAGCAGAGATAAAGCGGAGAAAGATGCAGGTGAGAAAAGAAGCAAAAGGACACAAGGAATAGAGGGAAGATTCCTCTTTTACCCCGACACCTTTTTACCTTTTACCCTCGCCATGCCTCGGCGCGGCGAAGCGATGCCAAAGATAGATTTATCTCGCCGCATCGTACCCGCAGAAAATGGCTATAAATTGAACGAGGGTGAAGGAAGTGAAGGACGGAAACGAGTACGCCGGGCTTCGCGGGAGGAAATTATGCAATTCCGAGTGCTCGCGAGTCGTTCGGCGCGATGAAGATGAGACGCGACCTTCCTTTGCGATATTCTCTCTCTTAATGCATACTTGCACGCGGAATTGAATCTTGATCAAACGAGGCAGCGGTCTTGGCTGACAGACAAGAGTCCGCCCAAAGCGATATATCGTTACTATTCTACGTGCATCGAGCAATTTCAGCTTTCATCGTGAAAGCGTCAAGTATACGGGAGATGGAAATATAGCCAGAACTGTTTACATTAACTACATCAACTATGAACATTTTGCCAGCAAATGGAAATCAAAATAAAAGGTTGAAATATATTTTTCTTTTCGATTTAATATCAAATTTAAATAGCATCGTCAAATATATATTATATTTCAGAAAGTTGATGTAGAATTCCCAAACATCGAAACTTGACATATTATTTCAATTTTATATATTATTTTTAATGACTCTAATCCGCGAGTTATTCAATAAACCGATCAAAATATTAAAATATTTTACAAAATAATAAAAACAGATATTTTAAATATGAAAAATGTCAAGACCCAGCAAGATACGTGCACCTGGATAGATGAAAAATGTTTTTCTTCCATCTTTTATCTCTATTTCCAAGAGAATTCTTGTCCTGCCATTCTGAATCGCGACACGCTATTTTCGAAAACTTGTACATTGACATCTAATTGTTAAGTTCTCAAGATACAAGGATATCTCGATTGATCACGAGTTATAAGACATCGCGAATAATCTCGCGACTCAGAAACAAATGGCATACTCATCTCACTCCTCTTGTACAAAAATCTCCGATCCCTATTCCTTCTCAAAGATCACTGTTTTATGAAAATCATTGTAAATAACAATTAAGATTATGCCAAGTTTTATATCGCATTGCAATAATAAGAAAAATTATATTAAAATGCGCTAATTTGTATGACAAACTTTTTCAATCAGTTTTCTCAAGGCATAACAAGACGAAAGTAGATTTCGACAGAAAATTGAATATAACGAAAACTGGAAATTTTTCAAATTCTTTTGAAGCGAGAGACGTCATTGGTTTTTCATCACTTGTGGTACGATAGGATTATTTCGACTGTTTCATTACTACTATGCATATTACATGGTTCTCCCGATGAAATTTCTTTCGCAATGGTTAACCACAACGCATTTCCATACGCGTGAAGCGGTAGTAACCGCATTTGCGTTTACTCGGATTAGAACGACGTGTTAGATATCGCTCGCATCGTTGCACCGCCCGCGCCGTGCAATCGAATAGCTCAATCGAGTAATCAAAACAATATTACGTTAATCGCAGCAGCCAAATTGTTACGCTCATTTTCGACGGTCGTATTCTCATTTTACGTATCGTGTATCCTTACAAATATATCCATTTCTATTCTAATCGAGTTGGGTTTTGCGAGGAAATAGTAGACTATAATTTTACGAAGAAGCAAGCAGCATATCGGACAATTTGTGAGACAATTTTCTTAAAATTATCTTGTGGAAGAGAAAAGGAGCAACTTATACCAGCTCGTGTATTCACAGTGTCGCTAATTCGACACTTTACGTGCCAGGTCGCGTCTGCAGGGATAAGGGAGGAATTTAATTCACCTCGTTTAATTATATCGCGCGTTCGGCATCGTAATGTTCCTTCCATTCTTCCTTCCTTCGAAAGCGCTGCCTCCTTAATGATACGATTGAATGTTATAAGAGTCCGATATGTATTTTCCGAACCAACGATCTACTTGTATACGGTAAACTGGCAACAGCATGGGTCCTGCGTAGGAATGCACTGGCAGGTTGACAACGACGCGGACGCGCCGCGTGTCTGTTGCTTTTAGACATGCCGCCACAAACCTTTTGCCGACCGATCGCAAAAAATTGCAGAAAACGCGTAATACGGAAATGACCACTCGATTAAAATTATAAACGAATAATAAAAGATTGGAATAAAATACCGCACACAGTTTAGAATGTGAATTTTGTCTACCTACAGTGTTCATTTACAGCGTAGACGATAAACAAATACCAGTAACAACGAAATGTAACATTTTGATATTGACATATATGCCAAAGAGGAACGTATAGTAAATAATAAAGACAACAGTTGTACATACGTTGCTATACATATGCTGCACATTTTCTACGATCGAGCAACCGCGCGAGAGGAACGACCGTGTAAAGACATGAAAGCAGCTCTTTTGCAATGGAAATTTACGATGACGATTCGGGCTCTATTGCTTCGGAAACGTTTCAAACGTTTCTGGAAAGAACGCTCGAAAAGAAGAGTCTTTCCTTTACCGTGTCTTCGACCTGTCTCTCTACTACGTAGGAATATATTTATATCATGTTAAAGAAAGCCGGAAACGGCTTTTACCCGTCGTCCCAAACGAGAGCACATCTCTCCCTTTCTTTCAAAAGATATTTCAGACTTGAGTCTGAAACGTGCCCGAATGATCAAGCGAGCGCCTTTTAGTGGTGTAAGTGCTTTCCGTTTAAAAGCTTAATTTTATCGCCGGTATGTCATTGTTAGAAATGGCGGTTAATGTACTTTTGCAATTACAATATTTTAATAACAACAAATATCTTAATATATATATGTGTGTGTGTAAACTTATCAAAATAAATAAACAATATCAAAGAAGTAACTTTCCGAAAATTTTACATTACGTACAATCTTTATGTTTGCCACATAATAATTGTCTAACAATGAGACACATCTCATTTCAAGATATTTGTAAAACAATTTAACGACAAAAATTATGACAAGTAATGGAATACGGCTATCGAATGCGAGTTTGGCAAATCAGGCGTTATCTAAATACGAAATAATTCGCCTATTTACCCAATTATACATATACCAAGTTATCGTGGACGCGCACCGTGTCGCAAACGAGCAGCAAACTTTAAATGAAATATCAAAAGTTCAATATCGCACAGAACTGAAGTATTATTATACGTCCATACAAATAAATGGCGAAACACGTGTAATCGCAAATTATTTCCATATACGTAACATTAATTCCATAATACATTCTACACGTTAACGATGTAAACGTCAGAAAGCGTAAAATCCTTACCGAGTAATTTGACGACACGCTAAATTAAAATCAATGTGTAAACATTTGATGGGGTATAAAAATAACTACGACTTACCTCTATTCGAGAGTTTTTTGGTGTTTATGATTTTTGCAGCAAACTCGTGACCGGTGCTCTTTTGCACACATCGTCGAACCACGGAGAAGGCACCTCTGAAACAATCGCGAGAACGAACATATATTATTATACTGCTGTGTAATTGTTATTTGGGAGGATGATAATACGCGATATATATGGAACGGCAAACATAATGCGCAAATACTCGTATATTAAAGCGTAATATCACTAAATAACAAGTTACAAATCCTCGCTAATTTATTACGTCAAAACTGCCATGAGCCGAATAGAATATCCGAAAATAGAATATGTGTGCGCGAGTGTCTAGTAGTCGGGATACAATTATGAGCTGCATCAGTTAAATATGCTGATATAACGGCGAAATATCTAAGCTACATTGATAAGACGCACATTGATAATAACCTGAGATATGTAGAATAAATGTTAACCGTTGAAACTCCTTGAAAATGTTTGGACCTCAACGTTTTTTAACAGAAACTGATTTGAAACTAATAATGTAAACGTTATGGAAATTTAATATTGTACGTTAAATAACAATTCGCATTATAGCTGAATTCGATAATTATTAACGGCTATTAACGACAGTAATTATATTTGTATGACAAATTTGGTATTTAATGGCATTACTGTATGAGACAGTTGAAAATGAATGACTCGCCAAGTTAGCGATACGATGTTTGTCATCCAAATTAGATTATCCTTGTATTAATGTTTTATATTGAAATTACGTATCGCATAGAAGTATCATAAGTGATGATTTTTTTTAATCACGCATCACCAAACATTTGAATAATTATCTTTAATTGCAGCTTCCATTAGACGGGAAAAAAAACATGACTAAAACTTCTCAATTTACCTCTATGCACATTTGTACAAGTTTGTGAAATAGAAACGATAAAAATTACATTTTATATTTAAAAAAAACAAAAACCAAAGACTGACGTGTAATCGGATTGTGACAAGGCTAGAGCATGGAAATTGTTGAAATTTGAGTATGTGTACGCTGGTTATAGATTAGAATGCAATACTATAATTTTCAAGGGATCGAAATGATGTCGCGAAATCGTCTGGTCTGGTCAAATCGATTCTACTATTCACTTTACACCTCCGCGTTGCTAAAAATAAAATGATCGCGTTTGCATGCCAGTGACGTCGAAAGTATTCGTTAAAACGATTCTGAAAGCAACAAGAGTCGACTCCGTAACAAGACAGCGATTACACTCGCATCCAAGAGCAACGAGTAAAGTCCACCCTCAGAATTCATAGTCGCATATATCCAGCCTGCGCCAGTCTCTAGCTACCCGAGAACTAAACTTTCTCGATTACCCCACACCCCCGCGACGCACTTGGCGCCGTTACTCTCTTCTATATATGGAAAACCGCGTGACCGGCGCTGGGGAAACTTGGACTTGCTAAAGTTTCTCTGGGCGTTCTGTAGCGCCGTCGATCAAGGTGGCAGATTAGCGACTACAGATTGTTCATTGAGCGAACATTCGCCAAGAGACCTAAATTGTCGTTTCTTCGCAAGCCAGGCTTTCCGTTTATCGACTCGGGAATTTATAGGGAGATCTGTTATTATCCGCGGACGGTCATCCACGCATTTTGTTATCGTGAAAAAGAGAATTTCGTACAATGTCGAGGTAGACATTGCGAGTGCGTCGTTAAATTATGTTATAAAAGTCACAGGAGATGGCAACAATTGTCTATGCTTATCGTTTTCGAACCGCGTTACTGTCTTGGTTCAAATTTCCTCGCATGGAATTTCCACCCTTAAAATATATACATATAACAAAATGACAAGGCATAAATAACGCGTCAATAAAATGACACAAGTAGGAATAATTGTTCAAGTCGATGTATAAATTGGTAACTAGACGTCATAACTTGGATAGTATCGCTACAACGTTAGTAAATAGATAATAAGTTTAAAAAAGCATATATACACGTATCGAGAAGAGCACAGATATATCTGGCGAATAAAGATAATACTTGATAAGTCTCTTTTCTTAACGAAAGTATTATTCTTGCTGCGGGGTATAGGGAGTTGAGGGGACGATACTGGTCCTGCTAGCGTCGGCGCCGTGTTCCACCCAGCGATGCGACGCGACGCTCCGCGACGATCACGCCGCTCGGTCTGCCCGGAGGAAAAAGGGCGAGGCGGGTGCTTGGCTCGTTTCCATGACGACCAATCATTACCGGAGATTGTGCCACCAGCTACTGCGTGCAGCAGCGCCGCGCCGCGCCAATCCCCTGCCGCTTTTCCAACCCCTCGTCATAGAGCGGGGTAGCTTTTCCGCTCACGTGCTCTTTACGAGATTATACCGCCGAAGCACGACGATTATTTAACGTCACGCTCCTGTTCTCGCGCTGCACGCTCATCCACTTCACGTGTATGTTGGTCACGATCAGATACATTTAAATATATTACCAAGAGTATCGAGGCTTCCATTAGTTTGATATCGCAAAGTACCGAATACCACGAGTATAAATCAAACGTTACGAATTACACTCGACGTTAATAAACATACGTCTTAAATATCATTATTCACAAACACCAATTCATTTTTTGCTAAAAAAAATTTCGACATCAATTGTAATAGTGAAAATACTGTCATCGTTAGGGCGCACGATACGTTGTGACGATATACCAGCGGTTGTTAAAAAGATAGAAAACAAAACATCCTGGTCGCTTCAATGGGACTGTCGACAAAATTTGAATTACTCTCTGTCGAGTAAACATTTAAGTCAACAAGCATAGAAAGGCAATAAGAGCCAAACGACATCTAACATGTAGCAATATACATTATTTGTATTGCAACATTAATAATTAAAATTAATAAATATAACTCGAGAGCAGACGGTCAAGTTATACAAAAGATCGTTACAACACAAATGTCGCTCTATGACAAATAAACGATCTCACCCGGTGGTAAATATCGAGAGGCTGTGCTCACATTGCAGTAGGCAGGAGAATCGCCCAATACTTGGTATGGTATCTGGGAGGACATTTGTTATTCCGTGTAGTACTGTTAACAGATTATACAAATTGTTGAAATATAAAATTAAGCCTAAAAGACACATACATTATCGTTGCGGTATAGGGAAGACCATAGGCATAGTAGTACTAGACCGAGCGTGTTCTCATTTAAGCAATCAAGTTGGGTAGAAAAGGATAGAAAGTAGGTGCCGCCGCATCAACCTTTCTCTTTCTATTCTTCTCGTTAGAAAGAGAAAAGTGGACGGCACCTGCTTCCTATCCTTTTCTACCTGAGCCTCAGGTCTACTATTACTATGTCTATGGGGAAGACCAACTTTAGTCGCCAGTATCAATACATACTGTAAGTGAGTCCGTTGTGCACTTGAAATTGTGGAGAAATCGTATTCCATCTGTGAGACGTTCCTTTGAAACGCACATTTTTAACGCTACTGTCTAAAGACCGATGAGTGTTTGTCCGCTTGTCGACCAGTGTTCGGTTATTGTTGTAATATTGTGGAAACGCAAGTAAATGTACATAAATGTCCTAAGAGTTAAATTATAAGTTAGCCGTAAGGTAAAAACATAAATAGAAGTCAAAGTCACTATAGTCCAAGTCTACTCTTGGTTGGTCGATTTGATTTTGTTTAGCAGCGGAAGATAAGGATCTCCCCAAAAACGCTGTGTCTGCAGGCCTAACCATTATTCTGTAAGTTGATGTACAGCATCTCTGAGGTTATTCGTCCAGTATAAAAAGGTTCTCTATCTAAAATAATCGTGTTGTCAAAATCCAAGTTGTGGTTATGTTGCATATGTTAGTGTATCACCGATGGATTGTCTGGATTTATTCTTTTATGTTCTTGGAGACGGGTAGACAATAGTCTCCCGGTCTGTCCTGCGTATTAGAATTAATTTTGCATCGGGGAAAAATTCACGAAAGGTCATTATCTGTCGCAACTTGTTAATATTCAATGGGTAAACCGTGTTTTGTCGCGCTCCACGAGTGATCGCCTTGGCCTGGACGAATCCAGGCGTAGGGTGGTTTACTAAAACGAGCAACTGTGACGCGACTCTCTCTCTGACAGTCACTTGCGATACTAACTGGTACATAATTAACAACAGTTTGCAACAAACGTAATATACAGAGTCGCATCTCGTGTCGCGAGAAGCAAAGTAGCGGTCGTACGTTTTGCGAGCGAAAGTGACAACGGGGCGATAAGGTGCCGGATAAAGAAATTTTCGGATGCAAATAGATACAGCGTAAGTACGCAAGAAGTATGCGAGCATCGAATGAAATGCGAGATGAAATTACGTCATACGGTTTCTCTCTCATGATGCAACGCGATGCAATTTTCGTTTCACGTTTGGCTACGAGAGACTCGGCAAGTGGAAATTACTACGAAGGATGAATTCATTATGCAGTGAGCAGTAGGCAGATCGGAGAGAACCATTTAACTTGATTCGATTCATATCGAATGGATACCGTCGATGCAATTCTGCAAATTATCATAAAAGATAATAAATAAACTTATTATTGCAAAGTCATCCGTTATAACTGTTACGTTAATGTAATTCACGTTAAAGAACAGATATTCCACATAAATACTGTTTTATATAGCAAAATAAATTTATAACGGCACTGTTCTTCGATACCAAAGTGTGCAAAGTGAATATTATTTCACGCTAAAAATAGCGACTAAAGTTTCCCTCTTCTTCCAGAAGCAAGTCGAGATTTAAATTTCTAAAATCGCACGACGAATATGCTACGACGGTCTTTGCATCTTCATGGATTAACATATAAAGCTTTCCTTGTAAAGATAGCAAGCGACGAAAGAAGCAAGAGCGAACGTGAAATAAGAAATGATCTATGGGAGACAAGATACAAGATACGCATCGTTTATTTTTCAGCTGTTAACCTTTTCAGAATCACGAGACTTTCTTTTATTAAAAGAAAGATCTGAATTTTTCATGAACTTGACGTTGCAAATGCATGGTACTTTATCAAGAAATAAAGACTTTTCGTGTGAAAAAACAAGAAATAACACAACTTTAATACCAAAAGCGTCCTCAAAATCAAATTCATTTTGCAAAAACAAAATG